AATGTATTTAATGCGTTCTTCCGGCATTTCGCATGATTTGTAGAACAAAATTGGTTCAAATAAAAAGCGCATACGAGCGAATAGGTGACCAGAGTCAAAATGCAAGTGAGCATCGACTTGGGCACGTTTCACCAAATCTTTTGGATACAATCGGTCGTCTTTTCCATATTTTCCAACTAAATACCCGCAAATTGCGTGGCTGTCGGTGATCAACACACCGTTATCATCGAGAAGTGGAATTGTGTGCTGGGGATTCAACTGAAATCAAAAATAAGTCAAATGATGCAGAACGGAAAATGTTTTTATAGGATTTCGTGTTAAATTCTTCATGGAATTCTATAAAATCTGGCAATAAAATAATTGAAACAGAAAATATTTTAAATTGAAGATGAATGTACCTTGATAAATTCTGGTGACTTATGCTCAGATTTCAACAATTCAATGACTTTGCACTCTAGCTCAACGCCCAATTCAGCTGCAGTCAATAAAACCGCACGTGAAGGCGGACTAAATGTATGCATGTATAAAATTGGCTTTGACGACATGATTTAATGATTCTATATCGAAAATAAACAAAGATAACACAATGTTAACGTTATTCTGTTGAGAAATTCGATTCGTTTGATTGTTATGCGGAAAAATATTCGTCGCCGAAAAGAGCGAAAAAATTTCTTTTTTGCGAAGCTGTATTAATATGATTTCTATTTTCACAAGTGTTTGCCGTTAAGCAAAAGGAAAGAGAACACAATAAAATATAAAAACCAACGAACCACTGAAAACGGAGGTAGCGTCAATTGTTCACTATGGAATATTTTCTTCGACTGAGACTCAATCGATAGTGGCCGTTTGAATTTAAACAAATCGATTTTAGTCGCACTAGTATTGTCAACGATGATACGATTTTTTTCTACTCTATCTAAATGATGATATGATAGAATATTGAAAAATGATATCACTTTATTGGGTACTCGAATAATCTTATGTTTACCGAAAATCATGATGACTCCTTAACTAGAGTAGAGACTGTAGCAATTATTTGATCAGTCAAAGAGTTACCATGAGATTTACAATCTGAATTTTTATCAGTAAAGTGAACCAGTTTGACAGTTATCATACAAACCGAGCGGTATCTCAAATTGGTTTCGTTTGTGTGTTGAACGAAACGGAGCAAGAGAAACGATCCAAAAATGGTTTGTATGGCGACGTGTGTGACATTTACTGATAAAAATTCAGATTGTAACTCTCATGGTAACTCTTTATATGACTGATCAAATAATTGCTACAGTCTCTACTCTAGTTAAGGAGTCATCATGATTTTCGGTAAACATAAGATTATTCGAGTACCCAATAAAGTGATATCATTTTTCAATATTCTATCATATCATCATTTAGTTAAGGTAGAAAAAAAATCGTATCATCGTTGACAATACTAGTGCGACTAAAATCGATTTGTTTAAATTCACACGGCCACTATTGATTGAGTCTCAGTCGAAGAGAATATTCCATAGTGAACAATTGACGCTACCTCCGTTTTCAGTGGTTCGTTGGTTTTTATATTTTATTGTGTTCTCTTTGCTTTTGCTTAACGGCAACTACTTGTGAACAAAGAAATCATATTAATACAGCTTCGCAAAAAAGCAATTTTTCGCTCTTTTCGGCGACGAATATTTTTCCACATAACAATCAAACGAATCGAATTTCTCAACAGAATAACGTTAACATTGTGTTATCTTTGTTTATTTTCGATAGAGATTCATTAAATCATGTCGTTAAAGCCAATTTTATACATGCATACTAGGGTGGAGCGATTGATCTTTTTTCATCGAATACACCGTGGACATGCATAATATGATAGAGGACATCAATCCAAACAACTTTTGTTCTACGACTTTGACCCCGGACGAACCTCCGTTCGCTCCGGTCCATTTTCATATTCCATGTGATGCCCCTCTGCATCGTTATTTTTGAGGGTCTAGACGCCATCAGATCGCATTTTTATGGCCTTTAATCGATTCCCCATCAAAAATTAAAATTGAAAGCAATCGGTTTTAGTCACACTAGTATCGTCGCTGATGATGAACGCTGCCGCATTGCGTCTGCGTCGCTGTATATTAATAGCATATAAGCGGAAAGAGTTTCAGTAAATTATCAGCTGTTTTTTGGCATTTAGTTATCTAGCCTTCACTGACACACTTTATGTTTTTTGTCAGTGAATTGTTTTTTTTTTGTGAAGTCACTGAAGTAAAGCGATATGTGTTAAACACTCTCGTATAATTTAATCACAAACGCTTGTCATCCGTTCATGTATTTGTTTCACTTCAGTGTTAACGTTGATATTGGCTATAATCAGTTTTAAATTTAATATGTAGCTTTCTGTACTCCGCTTCGTTTGTTGTTTTAAAAGACAGTAAAAAATTGCATAGTATTTCCCTTCGAAATCGTTTTATTCCATTATAATTTTGAACAACAGTTTAATGAAGATTTAAAAAAATTTAAAATTGTTTGTCTTATGGTGATTCGGCGTTCTTTTTAACCAAATTACGAATAGCACATTGTAATTCCTTTGCTGGAGCTCCGTTTATATGTTCATAGTACGGTAATTTCGATAAGCGATCCAACCACTGAGCGATTTTAGTATGTTTTGTTAAATCCAACGGAAC